TTCAGGAGCATGTTAAATCTTCCTGTACTCTAAGATGATAATAATTTAATTACATGAGCTACTGTATCTACATAAGAGGCAAAACCTCAAATCGTTGATCAATTTTTGAAGCTGAGGGCCGATAGTTCGTTGGAATGAGAAATATGGCGACACCCGTAAATGATCATAACACTAAATTCATGCTTCAGTTTTGTATGCTAGTTTTCCTTTACGATGATTAGACCAAACAAATAATTATTTTCTCTGTGACGTACCTGTCACCGAAAAAAGCCAGCTGCATGAGAACGCATGATTCGAATTCATTATAAATCGCTATGTTGTACATTCATTTGGCATCTTTGAACAAACTGCATAAAAATGGAGTATCAAAATATTTACCATTTAACGTTTCATTGGTGCTACTCAGCAGATTATTTCTTTAACCCCTTACAGTAAAGATATGGAAGCGTCAGTGATTTTGAAATTGCTTAGGAACTTCTCATTCAGTGAAAATTAAATTTACTTTGCTAATGAATGGGAAATTGAACTTGCAATTGAAGCAAGGACTGCAGACAACAGATCTGGAAGAAATTCGTTTGCACAGGATTCCTCATAAGACCGAAAAACTTTTTTAAAAAGGAGAGATTGACAACTTTCGTCCTGAAATGATGACCTGTAGGTGGTCCTGAAGCCCACTCTGAGAGGTTGAGGTCGAAGTGTTGCCAATCACTCAAAAGTTATATCTAATGGTGATCGAAACCTCATGAAATGCTCCACTCGTTGAATCCTTTGAGTCTAACGAAGGCTTAGAGACATCGGCCATAGCTGGCGAGAAATGGTATCCAAGACGGAGCGGTGATTGACCACTAGTGATGAACGCAAAAGAGCGAAAATCAGGGCAATGTCGACTTACGGAGTAATGCGCCCACAACAGTTGATGAAAATAAAATTGATCAAGGTTGTGGTTGAGCAGTTTGTTCACATGTTGGTTCACAAGTCAAACAGCATAAAATGGTATCTAATTATGAGACGTAAGATTATGGAAGGACTTCCGGTTCCGCGCGATCAACTACTTTCGAGAAACAACTTCGTCAGCCATGGCCAAAGCAACAACAATTTCACATTGAGGACGTGTTGCGTAATAGCAGCTGAAATGCCGGCGTGGATCACTCATCTGATCGGCCATAATATTGCGCTGTGTATCAATGAACCGTTAATTTGCTATTTCTCCGTTAGTCAGTTTCGATGACTTCTTATTCTTTCGGGCCGCGGAGGCAGAAGCGTTGCGGTGCCTCCAATGTTCCTAATCCCATGCCAACATTTGAGCTTCAGCAAGAGATACTCAGAGTCTGGATATCCAGAATGTGTGGGAACACATTCCGCAGGTCATTCTTAGCCTTCCCCGGGGACATTGGTAGATCGGTTGGGAAAGTAGTAGCTGGTTCACCATACTTTCTGGAAGTATTTGGATGAAGTGCCAAAACCACCGCAGCCGCTGTATACCAAGGCACTCTCAGATTACTGTACTCTGGACCATGTCAAGAGGTGTGGGCAAGCGACTTCTCTCAGAAAGCCA